TGCAAGCCAGCATGCTTCCCATTTAACCCTGGGTTTTACCAATCCCAGCTGTCTCACAGAGGCCTGACTTGTACCTGTCTGTTCCCTGCCCTGCCCTGCCCAAGCAGTCATTTGGTGCCCTGATTTAGAATAAAGGAAGTGATAAACTCTCTCTAGGCCATGCTGCTTGGACTTTGCCAGGGGTATTTCATTCCACTGAGACTACCACTCTTATAAGTATTGTACAGAAATTAACTCATTCAGAGAGTACCTAGGATAAGGATAAAACTGAGTCATAGGAGGAACAGTTAAAAACCAGCAGGCTGGCCATGGTGGCTCATGCCAGTAATCTCAGCACTTTGGGAAGCTGAAGCATGAGAATCACTTGAGGCCTTGAGTTTGAGACCAGCCTGAGCAACATAGCAAGACCTCATCTCTACCAAAAATAAAAATAAAAAAAAGTAAAGCACAAAGCTTTCTCTAGAAGACAAAAGACAGGGAGACAAGAAAGCTGTCTTCCGAGGCCTGAGGGCTGTCACAAAGCAGACAGATTCACGTTATCTCTGTGGCCATGAGAGGTAAAGGCAGCAGAGGGAGACCTCAGAGCATTTCAGCCCTAGAAGGAACACTTCATAGAAGCGAGTCTGTACGTGTTAGAAGGCAGCTGTGCTGCATTAACTTTCAGATCCCTCCAACCTACCATCCTTGAGGTTCTTACGAATGTTGAAGTAATCTCGATTCTCAGAACTACCATCCCTCCTCCTCACCACCCCCCACACCGCAGAACCCTTTCTTGCTATAAAAAGGCCATTCCTTAGAAAGTTAAACATAGAATTATCATATGATCCAGTAATTCTACTTCTGGGTATGTACTCAAAAGAATTGAAAGTAGAATCTCAAATAGATACTTGTACAGTAATGTCTAAAGCAGCATTATTCACAGTAATCAAAAGGTGGAAGAAACCCCAGTGTCCCTCAATGGATTAATTGACAACAAAATGTGATATATCCATATCATAGAATATTATCCAACCTGAAAAAGGGAAGAGATTCTGAGACATGCTGCAACATGAATAAACACTGAGGACGTTATGATAAAACATGCCTGTCACAAAAGGATGAATATTGTATGATTATACTATATGAGGTACCTGGAGTAGTCAAATTAATAGAGACATAAAGTAGAATGGTGGTTGACAGGGGCTGCTGGGAGAGGGGGATGGGGAGTTGTTTAGTGGGTACAAAGTTTGGGAAGATGAAAAGTCTGGAGATGGACAGTGGTGAGGTTGCCACAAGAATGTGAATGTACTTAATGACACTGAACTGTACACTTAAAAATGGTTACATTGTGGCCAGGCTTGGCGGCTCACGCCTATAATCCCAGCACTTTGGGAGGTCAAGGCAGATGAATCACCTGAGGTCAGGAGTTCGAGACCAGCCTGACCAACATGGTAAAACCTCGTCTCTATTAAAAATACAAAAATTAGCGGGGCATGGTGGTATGTGCCTGTAATCCCAGCTGTTTGGGAGGCTAAGACAGGAGAATTGTTTTTACCCAGGAGGCAGAGGTTGCAGTGAGCTGAGATTGCACCATTGCACTCCAGCCTGGGCAGCAGAGTGAGACTCCATCTCACAAAACAACAACAACAAAAGGCTGGGAGCAGTGGCTCACACCTGTAATCCCAACACTTTGGGAGGCCAAGGCGGGTGGATCACCTAAGGTCAGGAGTTCGAGACCAGCCTGGCCAACATCATGAAACCCCATCTCTACTAAAAATACAACCATTAGCTGGGCATGGTGGTGGGCACCTGTAATCCCAGTTACTTGGGAGGCTGAGATGGGAGAATCACTTGATCCCAGGAGGCAGAGGTTGCAGTGAGCCAAGACTGCACGATTGCACTCCAGCCTGAGTGAAAGGGCAAAATTCCAGCTCAGAACAGAAAACAAACAAACAACAACAAAACAAAAACAAAAAAACAGCAAAAAACAAACAAGAAAGGTTACATTGTTAAAAAAAAAAAAAAAAAAATGGGGTGGTTCCCCTCCAGTGGCTCATACCTGTAATCCCAGCACTTTGAAAGGCCGAGGCAGGCAGAATGCTTGAGCCCAGGAGTTCGACACCAGCCTGAGCAACTTGGTGAAACCTGTCTTTACAAAAAAATACAAAAATTAGCCTGGCATGGTAGCCCATGCCTGCAGTTCCAGCTACTTGGAAGGCTGAGGTGGGAGGATCACCTGAGCCTGGGGAGGTCGAAGCTACAGTGAGCCGTGATGGCACACCGCTGCACTCCATCCTGGGCAACAGAGTGAGACCTTGTTTCAAAAAAATAAATAAAAGATTGGACCTGGTGGCTCAGGCCTGTGATCCCAGCACTTTGGGAGGCCGAGGTGGGAGAATCACCTGAGGTCAGGAGTTTGAGATCAGCCTGGCCAGCATGATGAAACCCCGCCTCTACTAAAAATACAAAAATTAGCCAGGTGTGGTGGTGTATGCCTGTAATCCCATCTACTCGGGAGGCTGAGGCAGGAGAATCACTTGAACCCAGGAGATGGAGGTTGCAGTGAGCCGAGATCAGGACACTGCACTCAAGCCTGAGCGACAGAATGAGACTCCATCTCAATCAAGCAATAAATAAAGAAAGAAAGAAAAGGTGAAGTGTAGGAGGGGTTGCTCGGTACTCAGCATCAAGGATGAAAGCTGACTGCAGCCATTGTCCCAGATGAATTCAGTGGAATGTTCAGTTCAGCCCTGGGGATGAAAAGTTCTTCCAGGCTCCTGTACGGTGCATGCTCTTAAGGACAGATAGCGTTTTATTTGCATCTAGACCCACTTACCCCCTGCCCCTCTGCTCAGTGCTTGTAGCTCTCTCTACAATGTTATTTCATCTTCTCATCCCTGCTAAATCTTTGCCCTGAAACATGCAGCTCCCTTGATCTGCACAAATGCTGTGCCCCACTCTGGCCCCGAGTCCCCCATTAGAGCATCTGGAGGAGATACCTACCCACTTTCCATGTTTTCTTTCTTCCTTCATACTAAACACACTTTCCTCCTGTATATGCCTGGCTGTGCAAAGTGGAGTTCATTGTTAAAGACAGATATAGAAACAAATAGTTACAATACAGTTAAAGACAGATACAGAAACAAATAGTTACCATATTGTTAGATATAGAAACAAATAGTTACAATAGTATTAAAAACAGATACAGAAACAAATAGTTACCATACTGTTAAAGACAGATACAGAAATACATAGTTACAATACAATGTAACAAGTTTTATAATGGGGAATAGATATACAATGAAGATTGTGGTTTCTATTAAAATGAACTCCAGAGACTCTCAAAGGAGCTATTTTTAGGAAAATTGTATTGTGAATTACATATGCAATTAATAATAATAGCTAACATTTCTTGAGCGCTATTCTAGTTGCCTTGTGTGACTTAATCCATGTAAACCTCAGAGTAAGCCTAAGTGGTACATACTGTTATCTTCCCTATTTTTGAGTTGAGGAAATTTAGGCTCAGAGAGATTAAGCACACAGCTAGAGTGCTTGAGCCAGAAGCTGAAGCTGGATTGCTTGTCTTATCTCCAGAGCCTCCCTCATAAGCACTATAAGTTCTCTCCAATAATGGCCAGAAAGCAATATGATGAAGTTTCTGTTTTTACCAGAAAGTTTCATCATATCTTAATATTTTGCCATCATTTTTTCAAACTTTTCAAACATAAAACAATATGGCTGTGCTAAGTGTAATGTCGGGTCCTGGATTGGATCCTGAAAAGGAAAAAGGGCATTTGTAAAAAAAACTGGTGAAATCAGAATAAAAGCTAATGTTTAGCTGTACCAGTGTTAATTTCTGAGTTATGTTCATTTCTGTACCATGGTTATATAAGATGTCAACACTGGGGGGAACTGGATGGAGGGGTATATGGGAACTCTTTGGACTACATTTGCAATTTTTCTATAAATTATCCCAAAATAAGACTTGTATTAAAAATGACAACGTTATGGATATAAAACTTCATTGATATGTTTCTCCCATGGCCTTTTCCTAGAGATCATCCTCATCCAGAATGTGGTGTTTATCATTCAAAGGGCCTAACACAACTATTACTATATTAAATGTTAGTCATGAGCAATGCAGAGGATTTCTCAAGGCGCTTGGGTTTCAGTGAGGGATCAGGATCATGGGTGTTCCGAGAGACCTTGCCCCCCTTTCAGACAGGGGCACTGCCATGAGTCCCTCTCCCAATCAACCCAGTTTCACTCTCACCAACTACCCAGCCCAGACTTGGGCCCACCGTTGACCCCATAAAGGAGGCCACGCCTTCCCTGCAGCTCCTGTCGCTCAACCTTCCCTAAGCTGTGCACCACCCACTCACCCACATGAAGGCAGCTGGCTCTGAAGTTCTCTGGGCTTGAGGACAAAAAAAGACCTCTGTGAGGCTCTGTTACAGTCTAGGTCAGCAGACAAGAGTCCCAGGGCTCAGCCATCTTCTCTAGGAGAGCAAATATTCATGCCATATAGCGTGTTCTAAGAGTTCCCACAGGAAGCCCAGAAAGTTGTGTATTTACTCAGCATTCAAGGTGTGTACCCAGACCACAAACCTACCCTAGGGGGCCCAGATCTAGGACAGGGGATGGCCCAGAGCTCTGAAATTTGAGGTATTTCCCAGTGTCTAACAGTCATTAGAAGGGCAACAGCTCTGAGACCTTATTCAACTATTTATTGAAATATTTGTTTTTCCCTATTGTCTATTTATAAAGGTAACTGGGAGAACAGAGGTTCACAAAGGCTGTCAAAGAAGAAGCCTAGAAAGCCCACCAGGGAGGGTGGGGAGGGAAGCCCTGGGACCTGATCAAGGCCGTGCAAGCCCGACCTGCCCCATGACCTGAGGCTGACCCGCAACCTGAGGACAAGCGAAGAGAAGACAGTAGGGCCTGGCCAAGGTCTCTGGGAAAATAAATAGGCTTATCTGTTGTCCTTTGACCTGCACATACTGTTCTTTTGCAGGGTAAAACAGACCCTCCATTTTTGGGATTCCTGAAAGGTGACCAGGTGAGAGCAAAGCCCAACGTCCTGGGGAAAAGCTCTCAGCGCAGTGAATTCTGCATTCAGAGGTAGGAAGACTCCGGATGTGAACTATTTCATGGTTGTTTTTTTTTTTCTAAAATTACGGAAAACAGAGGAATCTCCGCAGAAGCGGAAGTAGGAATGGGGAAGGCGGGGACGAGTTTAGACTAAGCTCTTCTGTGACCTCACTTCTGCTTTTGAAGTCCCACAGCTCTATAAGGTAAGGTTACTTCTGTTAGCGCTTAAGTCAGTATTTGAGGTGATAAGTTCATGTTTTCTCTGCTAATTTGCCTAATTTCTTCCGAAATTCCTATGAAGTGTACTGGATTATGAAATTAGTTTCTTCATAGGGACACCTGAATCATGTTTCAAAGAAGGATCATTATCTTAGGGTACAATATCATGATTTTATGATAACATAAAACTAGGTCATGCAGCCCTACTGTCTTGGGGAAAAAAAAACTTTCACAGTTTTAATAACAATTAGGATTATCATTGTTTATGTTTCCAAGTAGAAACAAAGTTTCTCATTCTATGTAGTCATGTGTGCTCCAAAGAGTTGTGGCCTGGAAGCCTGAAGACCTGAATTTTGCTCCAGTTCTGCTGTAACCATCTATTTGATAGTGGGCCTGAATTTCCTCATCTGTGAAGGAGAAGTGACACTCCTTTGTTGCTAAGAGGCTGCAATCATTGATACTCATTAAGCTGGAGAGGAAAGTGGGCATATGCAAATGTAAAATCCACATGATATGTAAACATATACTACATATGCAATGTATTCATCAAGGCATTATGATTAATAGTATTAAATGAGAAATGTTGATATCATAGTATTAGCAGAAGAAATTCTCTCTGGAGATAATTAATATTGAAGCTGGATGAATATTTATGGGACATTTGCCTTCCCAATTTTTCACAATGATTTTCAGGAAAGAAGTTTAGACAACTTTCCCTGGTAACTTTGTCTCAATGTCTAAAGGGTCTAATGGTGAGCAAAACATTCCTTTCATTTCAGCCACTGCTACCTTTGCTCTTAATCCAATGGGGTGGGGCAGAAAGGGCATGGATTAGATAAGAGCCAGTCCTGGCTTGGCCACCTGTGCAAGGCAAATTACCCTTTAATCCCAGGCCCCTTTTCTATTAAATGAGGATAATGATAATGCCTAGAGCTAGTCTCGATGGAAAGTGCTTCATCAGGTGACAAAATGCTTATGATATCACAGATTCTGCAGTGTCATATTTATAAAAGACAAGGTGTGACCATTCTAAGATTTTAATCAATCAATTAACTTGCTACAATTAAATACAGCTACATGAAAGAATCAATCACATAAACATATTTTTTTTTTTTTTTTTTTTTTGAGATGGAGCTTTGCTCTTGTCGCCCGGGCTGGAGTGCAATGGTGCGATCTTGGCTCACTGTAACCTCCGCCTCCCTGGTTCAAGTGATCAGCCTCCCTAGGAGCTGGGATTACAGGCATGTGCTACCACACCTGGCTAATTTTGTATTTTTAGTAGAGATGGGATTTCTTCATGTTGGTCAGTCTGGTCTGGAACTCCCGACCTCAGGTGATCCGCCCACCTTGGCCTTCCAAAGTGCTAGAATTGCAGGTGTGAGCCACTGTACCTGGCTAACATAATCTTTTTTAAAAGTTATATTTATATATACATATACATGTAGATATATACATACACACATACACACACACACATAAAATTTTTTTTTTTTTTTTTTTTTTTTTTTTGAGGCAGAATTTCCCTCTTATTGCCCAGGCTGGAGTGCAATGGCGCCATCTTGGCTCACTGCAACCTCCACCTCCGAGGTTCGAGTGATTCTCCCACCTCAGCCTCCAGAGTAGCTGGGACTACAGGCATGCACCACCACACCCAGCTCATTTTAGTATTTTTAGTGGAGATGGGGTTTCACCATGTTGGTCAGGCTGGTCTCGAACTCCTGACCTCAGCTGATCCGCCCACCTCAGCCTCCCAAAGTACTGGGACTATAGTGTGAGCCACTGTGCCAGCTTATATTTTAACTTTTATTCTAGGTTCAGGGGTTCAGGTGCAGATTTGCTATATAGGTAAATTGCGAGCCACGGAGGTTTGGTGTACAGATTATTTCATCACTCAGGTAATAAACAACGTACTAAATAGGTAGTTTTTTCATCCTCATACATATCCCATCCTCCACACGCAAGTAGGCCCCGTGTTTATTGCTCCCTTCTTTGTGTCCATGTGCACTCAATGTACATAAACATAATCTGGAATGAAAGAAGCCAGACACAGCAAAGTAGGTGCAATCTGATTTTATGAAGAGAGCTTCTAGGAGTCTGGTCATGTTCTATTTCTTGATCAATATCTTGTTCATGAGTGTGTTCAGTTTGTGATCATTCATCAGATTGTGAACATAAGATGTGTGCTGTTTTCTATGTACGTATGTTATACTTCAGTGAAAAGTTAACTTTTTTTGTGTTTGAAATGATGGATATACTGATACTGTGATCTGATCATTATATATTATAAATATCAAAACATCACTATATACCTCACGGATATGTACAATTATTATTTATTAATTTTAAAATGTTAACATCTTTTGATTTAGAAACATTAGACATGACAGATTTTTAAAAAAACAGCAACAGGCCAGGCGCGGTGGCTCACACCTATAATCCCAGCACTTTGGTAGGCCAAGATGGGCGGATCACAAGGTCAGGAGATCAAGACCATCCTGGCTAACAAGGTGAAACCCCGTCTCTACTAAAAATACAAAAAAAAAAATTAGCTGGGTGTGGTGGCAGGCGCCTGTAGTCCCAGCTACTTGGCAGGCTGAGGCAGGAGAATGGTGTAAACCCGGGAGGCAGAGCTTGCAGTGAGCCGAGATCACGCCACTGCACTCCAGCCTGGGTGACAGAGCAAGATTCTATCTCAAAAATGGATAAATAAATTAATTTAATTTAATTTAATTTAAAAAACAGCAACAACAAAATCTCCAGATATGCCAATATCTGGAAATAACTCCTCTTAATATTTTGGCATAGATTCTTCCAGAATTTTTTCTATAGGTATAAACATACATTTTACAAAATGGGATCATACCATGCATCTTTGGGTAACCCAATTTTCTCACTGGATCCTATTTCACTCTTACAAATACTGACACACAAGAGTTTTTCAAACATCTTGGCTAAGTAGACAGTTTATTTATTTATTATTTATTTATTTATTTTTAGAGTTCCTAAAACTGGACATGGTGGCTCTAGGAGGATGCGCCTCTTCCAGTCATCGGGTTTCCCCTGGAAAGACAGAACAAATTCACATTCCCACCTGCAGTGGGTGAGAAGTTCCCTTTCCCCCACATCCTTGCCAAAAATGGATATTATCATTTCTTTTCATCTTTGCCAGTCTGGAAGTTATGTGCAACCCAACACAAGAATTACAGAAGAGGCCAGGAGTGGTGGCTCATGCCTGTAATCCCAACACCTTGGGAGACTGAAGTGGGCAGATCACTTGAGGCCAGGAGTTTGAAACCAGTCTGGGCAACATGATGAAACCCTATCTCTACCAAAACACACACACACACCAATTAGCCAGACATGGTGACACACACCTGTGGTCCCAGCTACTTGGGAGGCTGAAGTGGGAGGATCACTGGAACCCAGGAGGTTGAGGCTGTAGTGAGCTGTGATTGCACCTCTGCACTGCACTCCAGCCTGAGCAACAGAGTGAGACACTGTCTAAAAAAAAAGAAGACAGCTGGGTTTTAAGAACCAATTCAGAGATAGAACAGAATTGGGGCTCCATCCCAACTCTGAATGAATAAATAAAAGACAGTTTCTTCAGCTGTAAAATGGGGTAAATAATAATCTTTCCCAAAGAGAAAAGCTCAATAGCTTAACCCTAGTCCTACCCACCCACAATGGCTCTCCCTTCTTCCCAAACTCCTTTTCAATCTTGTCTCCTCCCAGCAGCCTGAGTATCCCCATATGAATGTAAATCACATGACATGGTTTGTATCTGTGTCCCCATCCAAATCTCATGTCAAATTGTAACCTCAGTGTTGGAGGTAGGGACTGATGGGAGGTGACTGGATCATGGAGGCAGAGTTCTTATGAATGGTTTAGCACAATCTCCCCTTGGTACTGTGTAGGGAGTAAGTTCTCATGAGATTTGGTTGTCTAACAGTGTCCGGCACCTCCCCTCTCTCTCTTCTCCTTCTGCTCTGACCTTGTGAGATTCATTACTCCCCTTTGCCTTCCACCATGATTATAAGTTTCCTGAGGCTTCCCCAGAAACTGATGCTGCCATGCTTCCTGTACAGCCTGCAGAACTGTGAGCCAATTAAACCTCTTTTCTTTATAAATTACCCAGTATCAGGTATTTCATTACAGCAGTGCAAGAACTGCACTGATTAATACATCATATCACACCATCTCTGTCTTAAAACTCTTCTTCAGCCAGCTGTAGCACATAGAACAAAATCTAAACTTATCCTGGCTGACTTGGGTCCACCTGCTCTCCCTTTGCCTGCCCCACTGTAGATATGGTCAGGCCTTGATGTCTTTTGCCCATCTTTAAAAAATTATTATTGTGATTTACTTTTCAAATTTCTTTTTTTTTTTAATTTTTATCTTTTTAGAGATGAGATCTTGCTCTCTTGCCCAGGCTGGAGTGCAGTGGTGCGATCATAGCTCACTATAGCCTCAAACTCCAGGGCTCAAGCAATCCTCCTGCCTCAGCCTCCCAAGTAGCCCAGTTAATTTTTTTTTTTGAGATGGAGTTTTGCCCTTGTTGCCCAGGCTGGAGTGCAATGGCACGATCTTGGCTCACTGTAACCTCCACCTCCCAGGTTCAAGTGATTCTCCTGCCTCAGCCTCCCAAGTAGCTGGGATTACAGGCAGGCGCCACCACACCCAGCTAATTTTGTACTTTTAGTAGAGATGGGGTTTCTCCGTGTCGGTCAGGCTGGTCTTGAACTCCTGACCTCAGGTGGTCTGCCCACCTTGGCCTCCCAAAGTGCTGGGATTACAGGTGTAAGCCACCGCGCCCAGCCACTAATTTTTATTTTTTACTTTTTGTAGAGACAGTCTCATTATGTTGGCCAGTCTGGTCTCAAACTCCTGACCTCAAGCAATTCTCCTGCCTCAGCCTCCCAGAGTGCTGGGATTACGTTGTGAGCCACTGTGCCCTGTCAGCCCACATTTTTGAGGCTGCACTGGCCTCTGGGTTTCTTGAATGGGCAGTCCCTCAGGCCTGTGTCTTGGGATGCTCCTCCTCCCTCTCTTTCCTGTCCTTGCCAACTTCAGTTTAAAACCACATCCTCAGGGAGACCTTCCCAGTCCTCCTGCTATTTTCTCTCCCACCATCCTGTTTAGTCCCTTCACAGTTCTTATTACTATGTGTAATGACATGTTTCTTTGCTTACTTTTGTGTTTTCTCTCCCCACCACCTGGTAAGCTCAATGAGAGCAGAGATAAGGCCTTCTGAGTTTGCTGCTATATCCCCCAGCACCTAGGCCTGTGCCTCATTGTACATGTTCAACAAATATTTGTTGAATGTGTGAAAATAAGTATTTCAAAATAAAGGCTGTTGGAACTTTAAAATATTATGAACTTCGAAGGAGTGTGATTACGGGACTCAAGTTACATAAACAGGCAGCTGTAACCTTTGTCGCTCTGATTATAGATTAGCCTTCTTTCTTACCACATTGTTTTGTAAAATGTTGTAAATGACTGAAGGGGGCCAGGGAAGATCCCTTCCACCTTCACTATTGATCTTCATTATAGATTCACTTCCTTCTTAACTTTCTGACACAAAGACTTTACAACCATCTCATTGTCTAAGATGGAATGTTTTAATCCTACTAAATTTCTTTGTTTTCTGCCTATATAAGAAAGACTTTAATTTTTCTTTTTTTTATTTTGAGACAGAGTCTTGCTCTGTCGCCCAGGCTGGAGTGCAGTGGTGCGATCTAGGCTCACTGCAAGCTCTGCCTCCTGGGTTCATGCCATTTTCCTGCCTCAGCCTCTTGAGTAGCTGGGACTACAGGCGCCCACCACCACGCCCAGCTAATTTTTTGTATTTTTAATAGAGACGGGGTTTCACCTTGTTAGCCAGGATGGTCTCGATCTTCTGACCTCGTGATCCGCCCGCCTCACCCTCCCAAAGTGCTGGGATTACAGGCATGAGCCACTGCGCCCGGCTGACTTTAACTTTTTTACTTTAGATCACTGGCTCCTTTTCTCTGAAGTCCATGTTTCCTGGATGGCTATTCCTGGCTTTGAGCTCCAATGAACTCTACACATAATCATATGTTCTAAATCATGTTACTTAAGGTTGACAAATGAATCAATAACTATTTCACTTTTCCTCCAGTTTGGTGGTGGGTAAACCCACACCCCGTAACAGGGTGAGATAGCTGCCAATTCTTTGTAACTCGTCCTTCTGGGCTGCTCTCTTCCTGATCTGAAATCTCCCCAGACCATTTCTGATCTCTCTCATCCCACATCCCCAAGTTGTTGACTGTATCACCTTCTGCAGCTCTGAAATGAAATATATACTGTCTTGTACTGTTCTTTTAGTGTTGGAAGTGCCTCCTGCCACCTTAGGGAACCATATATCAGTTTACACTAATCTAGTTTCTTCAAATGGCAAACTGTCGCAAGAGGGTGGGAGGGCTCAAGAAATATTCATCCATTCCGCATGCATTTATTAAGCACCTACGAAGTACCAGTTATTATATTAAACACCTAGGATACAAATACGAATAAGGCACAGCATTTCCTAACTTCAGGGAACTCACAGTCTAGGGAAGGGGGCACATAATTGTAATATTATGTAGCAATTGCAGTGGCTTGCTATGTAAAAGACAAAGGGGGCCAGGCGCCGTGGCTCATGCCTGTAATCCCAAGACTTTGGGAGGCCAAGGTGGGCAGATCACTTGAGTCCATGAGTTCGAGACCAGTCTGGCCAACAGCCCAGGGGTTTAGTAGAAACCCCATCTCTACTAAAAATACAAAAATTAGCCAGGCATGGTGGTGCGTGCCTATAGTACCAGTTACTCAGGGGTCTGAGGCAGGAGAATCGCTTGAACCCAGGAGGCAGAGGTTACAGTGAGCCAAGATCGCACCACTGTACTCCAGCCTGGGTGATGAAGTGACTCTGTCTCAAAAAACAAACAAACAAAAAAGACAAAAAACCACACAGGGGAAGGATACTGAACCCAGTCTGAGGAAAAGGAGAAGAGCAGGCTTCCTGGAGAGGTGCCATCTGATCCAAGTGAGCCAGATAAAGAGGACAAAGGCATTACCAGAAGAGGGAACAGTATCAGCCCAGGCCTGGGTGGAGAACAGCACTCTGTGGGCAAGGCAACAGTCAGCAGTTTAGTGTGGTTAGAAAATAAAGTGCAAGTCAGAAAGTGCTGAAAAATAAGTCACCGAGATGGGCTGGTGCCTGTTCAGGGAAGCTGCTGGAAGTTAAGGTCGGCAGCTTGGACATTGCTATAGAAAGAGGTCACTGAACATTTTAGCCAGGAATGGAGTGGGAGGTGTTGGATTTGGGGAGGACGCGTTTGGAGGCAGGGAGATCTGGTGAGATATGACCAGGATCTGCCCTGGGTCAGTGGTAACGAAGAGGGAGAGTCAGGTATAGGTTTAAGAACCTTTAAGAAGTAAACCTGGTAGGACTTCGTTATTGATTAAATGTGGAACAGATTAGAGAGAGAGAGAGAGAGAGAGAATCAGTAGCTTGAATGACCTCATTTTGATGGAATCCCATCGACAAAGAGAATACCAGGGAAGCAGTTTGGTGAGATGAGGGACGTGAGGTGACACTTAGGTTTGGGATATGTTGAATCTGAGGTGCTTGGGGGACGTACAAACAGCTTTAATTTTGAGTTACTTATTTTTGTAATATAATGGCAAGATGTGTGGTTTGCGGATTAGCATCTCCCTTCACTGAGCTCACTTGTATTCAGCGGTTAGGATATTTCACCATGGTAGGTGCTGGGGTACCCCATCCAGGTCCCTTTTACCCCCAGCTGCTGTGAGGGCTGACTGATGACAACTCACAGCCCCTCCTTTTCCTGGGAGTCAGGCTCCCAAAAGGCAGTCTGGCCCAAACATACAAAAGCTCGGCCCCCAGTATCACGGGGGCATTACCTTTGCGGTGCACTTTGGGCTTCCCGAGCTCCCTGGAGGGATCAGCCTGAAGCTGGTCTCCAGCTGAGACCACATCCTTGCTTGCCTTTCCCCACCCTGTGCCCTCTTGCCTCCTCATTCCCCTCCTCCTGAGACCACTGCCCCAGTGAATCACTTGCTCAAGAATCCTCCTGCTTC